GCCTGGAGCCTGTTTCAGTCTGTGACTCCCTCTCTCTCTGACCCTCCCCTGCTCATGCTGTCTCTATCTCTCTCCTAGAAATAAATAAAACATTAAAAAAAAAAAAAAAGAGTAAGCAACACCGAGGATGTTACCAACAATTTATTAACTTTTTTTGAGAATTGGAAAAAAAAAACCACCTTTATTGCCATATAACTCACATAACATACAATTTACCCTTTAAAGTATATAATTCGGGGTACCTGGGTGGCCCAGTTGGTTAAGTGGTCAACTTCGGCTCAGGTCATGATCTCACAGTTTGTGGGTTCGAGCCCCGTATCGGACTCTGTGCTGAAAGCTCAGAGCCTGGAGCTTGCTTCCGATTCTGTGTCTCCCTCTCTCTCTGCCCCTTCCCCACTCCTGGTTTCTCTCTCTCTCTCTCTCTCTTTCTCTCTCAAGATTAAATATTAAAAAATAAAGTGTATAACTTAATGGTTTTTAGTATATTCACAGAATTGCTTAACAATTACCATGATCTAATTTTAGAATTTTTTTTACCACCAGGAAAGGAAACCCAATGCCTGAGGGCAGTCAATGCTTATTAGCCACTCACTCTCCCAGACAGTGAGCAATCTGCTTTCAGTCTAAGCAATCTACTTTCCTAAGCAATCTACTTTCAGCCTCCTTAGACCACAATGAACTTTTTACAAATCGTAGCAAAATACACAGAACAAAATTTTACCATTTTAAATATTTTTAAAAGTTTTTTTATTGTAGTAAAAAATACAAAAGTGAAATTCACCGTCTGCATCAAATATAAGTGTGCAGTTCAGTAGTGTGCAATAGGTTTAATTTTTAAGTAATCTTGGGGCACCTGGGTGGCTCAGTCGGTTAAGTGTCCAACTTTGGCTCAGGTCATGATCTCATGGTTCATGGGTTCGAGCCCCGCGTTGGGCTCTGTGCTAACAGCCAGCTCAGAGCCTGGAGCCTGTTTCAGATTATCTCCCTCTCTTTCTGACCCTCCCCTGCTCACGCTGTCTCTCTCTCTCGCTCTCAGAAATAAATAAAACATTAATTTAAAAAAAAAATTTAAGTAATCTCTGCACCCAACATGGGGCTCAAACTCACAACCCTGAGATCAAGAGTTGCACACTCCACTGGCTGAGCCAGCCAGGCGCCCTTCAAATCATATCATTTCTAAGCCTCTGTTTGTTCATGTGACACATGGATTGAATAAAATAAAATTCACAGGGCTGCAGTATGCGCCTATAAAAGAAATGACTAGCACAAAGCCCAACATAGAGGTGAAGGTGATGGAGTATTAAGTCCCCATACTCTTTGCCCCAGGCCAAGCCTTCCACTTAACCTAAATCAACCCAATATATGAACTATCAAAAGTGAATGCACTCACCATTCAGTGCCTGGAATAAAAAAGGCAAAGCAGAATTTACTTTTACTCCGTTAAGGGAGACTTATGCTGGCTAGACATGATGCCTCAGTCTCTGAGCAGAGCTTACAGGGTTTTTGGGAAATGTGGATTCTCAGGGCCTCTTGTGAATTGGCATCATCTGTAAAAGATGTTTATTTAAAGGAGACTTTTGATTGGTTGTCACTCACAGGTGCTTACTGAAGTAAATCTGTTTCTGATTGGCTGACATTTAGAAACAAGGAGTTGATTGGTTGAATCACCAGGGCATTTTTCACTGTGAGCGGTCACTGATGATGGGTGAAAAACTGGTTCTGGTGGCTCTTTGTCATCATGGCTACCAGACAACATAGTCTTTTTCTAGGAAGGATCTTTTCATTCCCAGGTTCACAGTATGATTTTCCACACTAGACCCCGGCGTGGACAAAACCAAGTATGTGAAGCTAATCTTATCCCTCTGTGGAATCAAATCCCATTACATGTCACAGGTCCAAATCCTGGCTCTGAGATAAAATCTCTGATTAGCTTTCCTCTGAAGCTGTGGCACTTCCTCATGGTTTTATCTGGCCCAATATCTAACATGTCCTTCATCAACTTATTTATTTATAACCCAAATAAATATTTCCAATAGTTTATGTTTTGCATATCTCATGATAGATACTACAAAGAGATAGTTCAATAGAGTAAGCAGCTCAAAGTGCTGAGATAATCCAGCGGAGATGCTTGTTGGGGCTGTTTTCATAAGTCTATGCATTGGAGGCATGAGACATCCTGAAATGTTAGTTTCATAAGAACAGGAGAGTCTTTTTTATATATGTAATACACAAATGTCAGTGTAGGGAAAACTAGAAGCACTCATGTCATAGGATATATGGTATGTTGAATGGACAGTATTAATAATTAATTGGTGATATTAATAATTAATGGCATTCTAAGTGTTAAGGTCTTACCCAGGAGGATGTGAAGGTACCTGGTTTGGCTGATAAATTCAAGACAGATTGAAATCATGAGCCAAACTTTCTGTTGAGGCTGGAAAAAAACAGCCAGGACTAAGAACTAGGAATACTTTGATTTTTATCATAGAAAATGGGTTAAGACAAGACTGTACCGAGGATTTTATCACCAACATCTAGAAAGGTAGTGTACAACCATATTAGATACATATAAGAAAACACCATGGGGTTGGTTTGAAAATGGATCCCAAATTGCTAGTGCCTCTTTCTCCCTTATGTTCTCCCAGTATCTCTGCAGGTCTCCACAGGTGCGGACTCGTTTCTATTTCAGTGACAGGTGTGTACCTGGTGGCTCTTAGGGCTTTGTCCAAAGGTCCAGTCTGTCTGACATTTGTGTTTACTCTGGCTCAGTTCAGGAAAATCTGGCCAGTCTTCCTTGTTTGGAACCCGATGGCTGTGCCAGTTTTCAACGACTATGGCCAAGAGACCCATTAGGACCAGTCCTGCTATGCCCATTCGGATCAAATTCTCCATTGTGTAATCTTGGTTCATTATATCTGTGGACATAATTCAAAGGAGATGAGCAATCATTGGCCATGTTCAATTTCATCCCAACCCAGAGCCCTGAAAAGGGAGCTCATTTCCCTATTTGTAGTTCCACTCAGACCCCCTCCTCAATGAGCTCATGCATTCATGAGTGCCATACTTAGTCTGTGAGCCTGGGTCCAAGGGGCATCTTGTGAACAGGAAAGGAAGTGATTATGGGGATGCTGTGTTTGCTCTTCGTTCCCTCTTCATGTAGCGATTTCCCTCAAAGTCTAGTGAAATTCTTGTAGTCAAATGCTCTGCTCCTGAGCTATATCCCCTACAATTACCCCAATGTCTATAGCAGCACTATCAACAATAGCCAAATTATGGAAAGAGTCTAAATGTCCATTGACTGGTGAATGGATAAGAAGATGTGGTATATATGTACAATGGAATATTACTCAGTGATCAAAAAGAATGAAATCTTGCTATTTGCAACAGTGTAGATCAAACCAGAGTGTATTATGCTAAGAGAAATGAATCTGTTGGAGAAAGGCAAATATCATATGATTTCACTCATATGTAGAATTTAAGAAACACAACAGATGAACATATAGGAAGGGAAGAAAAAATAAGATAAAAACAGAGAGGGAGGCAAACCATAAGAGACTCTTAGATACAGAAAACAACCTGAGGGTTGCTGGAGGGGAGTTGGGGCGTTGAGCTAAATGGGTGATGAGCATTAAGGAGAACTGTTGGTATGACCGGTGGGTGTCATATGTAAGTGATGAATCACTGGGTTCTTCTCCTGAAGTCAAGACTACACTGTATGTTAACTATCTTGAATTTAAATAAACCCAAAGCCCTGCAACACCTTCATGTATTCAGAATAGTACATTTTCTCTACACTTTCCTCACCCCACATAACAATTTGTGTTCCTCTTCCGTGCACGACAAAAGATATGATACAGTTGGTATCTGGGAAGTAGCAGGGAGAAAGTTTTCAGATAACTTTAGGTAAAATGTATCTACACTATTGTGTGACTGTTTGCTAGCCATTGCTGTTCTCTGAAACTTTAAAACATTTTCTTCATTTGTTATATGGACTTCATAGGCCTATGTTCCTCTCCAGGGATTAATAAAATACTGGGAGATTACAATGCTTAGAAATTGTAGTAACTCTCTCTTGTTAAAATACAGAAATCAGGGGCACCTGGATCGCTCAGTCAGTTAACTGTCTGACTTCAGCTCAGGTTATGATCTCACAGTTCATAAGTTCAAGCTGGTCATGGGGCTGTCAGAGCAGACCCTGCTTCAGATCCTTTCTGCCTCTCCCCCACACGTGATCTCTCTCTCTCTCTCTCTCTCTCAAAAATAGATAAACATTAAAAATACAGAAATTAATTTCAAATGGATTTGGAATTTCAAATTAGAAGATGATACAGGATAATACAAGAAGATAATACAAGATATTACAAGATAATATCATCCCATCACTGGGACATATGATTTTTAAAACAAGATAAGATGACTATCTACTGTAAAAAAAAAAAAAAGACTAATAAATTTGCTCCTCCTCCATCATGCCCAATTATCCATGCACTGTTAAAGGAAAAGAGCACTCTAGCCTGTATGATCTTACAGTGCCATGACTACTGTGTCTGCTCAGCTTGTAGAGTGATCGGACAAGGCAGTCACGCGAGGTGAATGCGGTCGCCTCACTCAGCAGTCGGCGGTTACTTTCTTTTGCTGTAACTTGTCTTATCTTGCTGAGCTGAGTGATGCAAACACTATAATAATGGGGGTTGTGCTAGAGTTTCTAGCCAATCACTCAGAGCGGAGTCTAGTACTGAAGGTTAGTTTAAGGGTTCCCAGATGCAAGTAAGCATGTGAAAAAAGAGAAGCGGGCCAGTCTAAGGTGGTGTCTGGGATCTATGTCTCAACAACACCCCTTAACATGATTCTGAAAGTTGGCCTCTCCGTTCTTAACAGACCACATGTTTTTAAAGGGCACTGTCTGCAGAACTCAAGAGAGGATGTGGAGGTTGAGTGGGGTATGGATGGAAGTCTTTTTCTCTTCTCAGTCCTTTGATTAATGGCCCTCTACTACCCCACTGTTTTTTTCTCAGTGCACCTTTCCATATTCCTGTCTAATGCTAAGGCCCCAAGGAGGAGGACTCAGGGCTGACTGGGGTTCACTTACCTGTGACCACAAGCCCCAGGGCATCACTGGGGGCTGACCACACGTAAGGGCTGCCACTGTACCAGCCATAGCACCTGTAGTTCCCTGAGAAGCTGTGGTTCACTGGGCCTAGAGTAAAGTTGCCTTGGTGTACCCCACTTTGGTGCTGTGGTGCGGTGGCTCCTCCTTCTTTGATCAGTGAAAATCTATCAAGTAAGATGTGTGTTGAGCTGCACTGCAGGGAAATATTATCTCCCAGTATCAACACCATGCCTTGGTCCGCTGAGAGGGAGGGTTTGTCATACAAGCCTTAAAGAAAAGACGGTGGGAAATTAGCAAGATTTTTCATCCTTTTCCTTTTGTCCCCAACACTCAAGTTGGGTCTTCCTAAAGGAAGGTAAGATGCCGATATTCCCTGATCCAAAGGAATGGGAGCTGGGAACTTCCCATTTTACTACCCCAGGATATGTACTCTGTCCCAAATTATTGCAGACAGGGCTGAGCATATGAGCAGCCTGTGGGGCTTGGGTGAGATACCATCTTCAAGAGATAGAGATCTTGTTTCTAAAGTCACAAGACCCACATGATTCTGTTCCCAATTACAACGTGTGGGGCTTTCCCCCACACCACAAGAAATTCTGAGACACCCACTGGGCCTCCCATAATTGAACTTAATTCTGACATTATCTCCCTGGAGATGACGTCAGGTCTCACAGGTTAAGAGCTCAGTCCTATGAGGCCACACCCCACTTCAGATGCCAATCACAAGCCTTTGTTGTCACCTGTGCTTCTGGCTGAATGGCTATAAATCAAAAGTTCCCAGAACTCCTTCCTTGGGCTCACTTAATTTGCTAGAATGGCTTATAGGACTCAGGAGCTCAATTTACTCACTAGATCACTGGTTTATCATAAAGGATGAAATCAGGGACAGCCAAATGGTAGAGATGCATAAGGCCAGGTGCCATATCCTGGTTCTGCTCTACCAATAGGTTCTGCACCAATAGGGAATCTCTCCTTTTGGGTTCTTATGGAGGCTTCATTACATAGGCATGATTGACTCTTTGACCATTGGTTATTGATTCAATGTCCAGCCCCCTCCCCTCCCCAGAGGTAGTCTCAGAGAAGTGGTAGAAAGGGGTTTGTTAGGAATATCAAAACATTTTTGTCATTCATGTCACTCAGGAAATTCCAAGGGACTCAGGAACTCCGTGGCAGGAACAGGAACTAAGACCAAATATATAGTTCTTAACTATAAATCACATTGTCGCAAGCCACATGTCAAGGAAACGGGCAGATAGTATCCAAAGAGTTTGAGGAGCCATGTCAAGGGCAGAGAGAGGCGACATTATGTAAAAGAATGTCAGCAAGTAGAAAGACCTAGAAATTCAGGGTGAACTCTTCTAGAAAAAAGACGCTTCTAGAAGCATAGGGTCAAGCCACCCTGAAGACAAAGGGCTTAAAACCAAGGGCTGGACTTATTCAGGGAGCATAGAGAGCATAGCTACCTCCCCTTCCTCAGGTCCAGGCTGCATATAGTGATTTCTTTCCGTATGGAAAGTATTGGGAGATAAACCTGCATATGCTACCTCAGCCAGGTGCTCAATCTCAGCATCAACAGTCATATTCATTTGCATGGTATGTACCCTCACCATGATGTGGTGAAAATGGCACTGTGCTTCTGTGGTCTCCCTCACAGTTACCCCAGGACCCCTATCTTAAAACACCAGACAACTTCCAATAGTGGGGCATTCTACAAAACACCTGACCAACACTTCTCAAAACTTCGATATCCAAGAGGAACCTAAGCAGACATGACAAATACATGCAGTGTGGGATAGGATCCTGGGACAGATGAAGGACACTGGGTAAAAGCTAAGGAAATCTAAATAAACTGTGGACTTCAGCACATGCTAAGTTATCCATATTGGTTTATTAATAGGGAGAAAAGTACCATACTAATGGAAGATGTTAACATCAGGGGAGAGTGGGTGACAGATACAGGAATGCTCTGTCCTATCTTCTCAACTTTTATGTTAAACCCAAACTGTTCTAAAAGTAAAGTCTTTGAAAGAATAGGAAAGAACGAACATCTGAGGGCTGGAGACACTGGATGTGTCCTCACCTGTCACCACCAGCTCCAGGACTTTACTGTGCTCCGATAATTTGTACTCTTTCCTATATCGGCATCGATAACGCCCTGCAGTCTTGGTGTTCATGTGGCTAATGAGGAATTCAGCCTTCTCCTGAAATCCCAATTTCCTCTCCACCACCTCAAATGTGGAGTTTCTCAGGATTTCCAGTTGGTACAAGTAAGACTCAGGAGTCCCACAACACAGGATCTTCACGGACTCATTCCAGGGAATTATAGAACCAGGCGTGGCAGATATAATAGGAACGTAAAAATCCCCTAGAAGAAAATAGAGCCCAAACTCAGGTGGCTCGCCATCGAGAAACCATAGTGCTTTTCTTCTCTGTGGGGGAAATGCAAATAAATTAAGGTGTGAAAGACCTAAGATTCCTTCCTTTTTAAAATCTTTTTTTTTGGTATATTCTAATTGTAGTAAAATATACATAACATAAAATTCACCATTTCAACAATTTAAAAATATATTTTCTTTATTTTAGAGAAAGTGAGAGAGAATGCAAGTGGGGCAGAGGGGCGGAGGGAGAGAATCCCAAGGAGACTCCAGGCTGAGCATGGACCCAGGGCTCAGTCCCACACCCTGGGATCATGACTTGAGCTAAGGTCGAGTCAACTGCTCAATGCATTGAACCACCCAAGTGCCCCTCGACCATTTTTTAAGTGTACAGTTCATTGGCATTAATTACATTCATCATACTGCACAACCATGACCTCTATTTTCAGAATTTTTTTCATGACTCCAAACAGAAACTATTAAGCAATAACTCCCCTTTCCCTCCTTCCTTAGCCACCAATAGCATCTGATCTACTTCCTGTCTATAAATTTGGCTATTCAAGGTACCCCGTATCAAATATTTGTCTTTTCTTGTCTGGTGTATTTCACTTAGCATAGTATTTTCAAGGTTCATGCATGTTGTAGCACATGTCAGAATACCCTTCTTTTTAATGGCCAAATAACATTCCCTTGTATGTGTAGACCACGTTTTGATTAGCCATTCATGCCAATGGAAATTTGGGTTGTTTCTATCTTTGGCTATTGTGAATAATGCTGCTCTAAATATTGGTGTACAAATATTTGTTCGAGTTCCTGCTTTCAATTCCTTTGGTTGTATACGTAGGAGAGGAACTGCTAGATCATATGATAATTCTATGTTTAGCCTTTTGAGAAACCGAACTCCTTCCTTTACATGTTTATTTTCTTTTTGAGATGAGATTCACATAACATACAATTAACCATTTTTTAAAGTGTATGATTCAGTGGCATTTGGTGCATTCACAATGTTGTCCAATCATCACCTCTATCTTTTTTGCATTTTTATTACTCCAAAGGAGATCCTGTATACACCAAGAAGTCACTCCCTACTCTACCATCTCACAGCCCTTAGCAACCACTAGTCTGCCAAAGTCTGTTTGGTGTTGTGTTGCCATGGGAACCCTCAGGAACAATGCCAAACCTGTTGATTCCTTTATCAAGGTGTGTCATCTCTTTTAGACCTGATAGTTCTGTGCTCAACTGCAGCTCTGTGAGGGGGGATAGACAGGGAATTTGCCATTCTCATGAGGATTGCTGTCAAGGAAGACCAACTTGCTACAGGTGGCTGTGGGAGGTGTTGACTGTATTTACCAAAAATAAATTCCTTTTAATAGTATTCACTCACCAATACCTCCATGCTTTTGTTTTTCCAAAATAGATGAAGAGATAATGGGTATGTCCACTAATGCTGCTACAGTGTTTGTTTAAAATAATGACCTAAACCAGTGGTTCTCAACAGAAAGCAATTTTGCCTCCCAGGGGACAATTTGGTAATGCCTGGGGACATTTTCGGTTGCCACATGGGGTCAGGAGGCACTGTTGACATCTACTGGGTAAAGGCCAGGGATCTTACAATGCATAGGACCCGCATCCAAACCAAGGGTTATCTGCTCCCAAATGTCAATAAGACTAAACTTGGGAAACTCTCACCTACACAACATGGTTAAGACCTTTAGGGGGATGATAATGTGAGAAATATCAGATACTATTTTTAAAAATAGGCAAGGAGAACTTAACTGAGGAACAAGGGGGAGAAGAAGGGGGGAAATGGTGGGGGAAAGGGAGAGAGGCAAACGATGAGAGATTCTTGAATGCTGACAAAAACTGAGGACTGATGGATGTGGGGGGGTGGGGGGATGGGCATGGAGGAGGGCACTTGTGGGGATGAGCACTTGGTGTTATGTGGAAACTAATTTGACAATAAACTACTTGTAAAAAAAAATAGGCAAGGATAGGGGGACCAGGGTGGCTCAGCTGGTTGAGCATCTGACTTTGGCTCAGGTCATGATCTTGCAGTCTGAGTTTGAGCCCCATGTCAGGCTCTGTGCTGAAAGCTCAGAGCCTGGAGCCTGCTTCAGATTTTGTGTCTCTCTCTCTCTCTGCCCCTCTCCCATCCATGCTCTGTCTCTCTCTTAAAAATAAACATTAAAATAATAGCCAAGTATATAACCGCAGGTCATGACACACAGTCATGTGTGTATAGAGACATAGATTTTGGAAATCTGATAACAGATGTGAGGTCTCAGCTGATACATGCAGATAAGTACTCTAGGCAATGTGAACAGGCAGGTTGGGAGCATTGTGGATCAAATGAACAACAGGAGAAGGTCTTGGATAATAAAGTGCAAATAAGTATGGGACAAACTAAAACAAGGTCAGAATGAGTAAGGAGCAGAGACTCACTGGTAGAATGAAAGATGGGCTTGGGATAGCAGAAGCAGCCCGGCAGGCAGCAGCCATGGGAGCCCCAGCCATGGCCACATCAATAGATTTATCTGACATTAGACCCCTGATGGGTTCAACAAGGGTGATAAACGTATATGTGTTTTTTCTAATGTTTTTATTTATTTCTGAGAGAGAGAGAGAGAGAGAACGTGAGCTGGGGAGGGTCAGAGAGAGAGGGAGACACAGAATCTGAAGCAGGCTCCAGGCTCTGAGCTGTCAGCACAGAGCCCGACGCAGGGCTCAAACCCACAAACTGTGAGATCATGACCTGAGCAGAAGTCGGGCCCTTAACCGACTGAGCTCCCCAGGCACCCCACGTATTTGTGTTTTAAACACACAAGTAATTCAGGCTACAGTCTTTAGAAGGAGCTGGAAGAGAAAAGACATAGATAGACATGGAATTCCATCCACTAGGAGAGGCCAAGGCAGTAGCTGAGATGACTGAATGTACAGTTGTAACTGAGGGTTACTTGGTACCAGTACACAGACTGCACAGGAGGGCAGGACTAAGGCAACATCTTGCTGAGTGAAGCAAAGTGTATATAGTGGAGAGAGAATCAGGTTGTGAAAACAAGTAGGTCTGACATGGGGACAAATATTGGACAATCGTCGATGACTCTCAACTTCCTCACCCTTGCAGTTGTGGACATTCAGTGAAATACATGTCTTTGGTATGTGACAGACAGCTGCAGGGAAGCAAACACTAAACCCAGGGCTAAGTATGATGCGTTTGAGGGTCTGGAGAGGGAAGCACAGCAGAGATGGCTCATATGGGGAATACAATTGGAATTCATTTGGGCTTTTGACTGTCCTTCTAACCCTTCTATTCCAAGGTAGAAGGTGTCTGGGAAAGATTTGGGGGAATGCTTACCTTCTTGTGCCCAAATCTTCTGGCTCAGACAGAGCACTGGAAGAAAGATTCACAAAATATCAGTTTTCTGGTTTCAACAGTAGTCCTTGTTTCAATTCATCCTGACTAATGACATGCAGGGTGTCATTCCCCCCCCCATAAAGGAGAGCTTTCAGACTCATCTTTTAGTTTTATCTCCTAGATTCCAGGCCCCAAGGCTCTCATATATAGGAACTCTGGACCCATGACATGGGTTGAACAGACCCCACAAGCCACTTGTGCTTGGGCAGACACAGTTACAGATATCTGGGCAAAGGCCAACTTTCCACTAAAGAGCTCAGAATCTCCTTGGCAGCCACTAAAGTCACCAAGTCCTCATAGTAAGAGAGACACGGGCTGTTTCAGGACTCCCCATCTTCCCCCCTGACCCAGTTGCATTTCAGGACTCACCAAGACAGAGAAGGATGGTGTGTCTGTGGGCCATGATTCTGTCACAACCTCAGCCCAGTTAGTTTCTTGTTGGGGAATATTAGCAGAATGACAGACCTCACAAGACAGTAAGATAGATGAGTAGGAAGTATGAGGTCAGAGTCCCATGTCAGAGAATTGCTACATCTATTGCCTCACAAGTAATGGTTTCTTCCTAAAGAACTTAGTCCTGGATAGCTTTTGGGTGGGGCCTGAGGGGAGACTAATTGTTCTGTTTTAGTTTCCAGTGAGAAGTGAGTGTATTCCTCGACCAATGTCTAATGGGGCTCGAATCCTTATTCGAACCAGATCTCACATCCAAATGGAAGGCCATGGGGCAGAATGTAAGATGGTGCCATACAGACAGAGGTTCTTCTCCACTGGACCATTGGTCAACAGCCATGTGGCCTTGCCTGCCATGGACCCATGAACCCTCTCTGGAATTCAGGGATTGAGTATATCTACTTAGGCTTGATTGGCGAGACAGCATCCTCTTACACTGGGGATTTTCTCAATGCCAGCATGTAGAGGAATCTTCTCAGGAGCTATTCATCATTATTGAAGAAAGAAACTCCTATACCTATACCTATACCTATACCTATACCTATACCTATACCTATACCTATACCTATCTGTATATCCATATCTCTACCTATCTGTATATCTAGATACAGATCATGGGATAGATAGATAGTTAGATGTTTAGCTATAGACTCCTGGCATCACAAATTCTTCAAGGATGGGAAGCCAAATATTCCAAATCAAATTATCTACCATTTACACTTCATTTTCACTGTAATACATCACTCTTGCCTTTCAATACACCAAGTGTCCTGGGCCTCTCCCATCTTTTGGAAGGTGCCACTGACAGATTTTTAAAATAGTGAAAATGAGTCTTTAAGAGAAATGACTGTGCCAAAGATACTGCAGCTAAGAAGACGCAAAGCAAAATCTAAATGCTAAACATCCAAAAAAATATCCATCTCTGAAGCATGTTTGGACCCTTCAGGGGAGATGCTAGGATTATTTGGTCACTTCATTCCAGAACGAGATGAACATGACAAACACATTATATTCCAATAATAGAAAGACGGTGAATTTGCTTGTTTGTAGTAACATAGTGACAGAAGTCAGAACTTACTCTTTTTTTTTTTTAATATTTTTATTTATTTCTAGGAGAGAGAGAGAGACAGCATGAGCAGGGGAGGGTCAGAGAGAGAGGGAGATACAGACTCTGAAATAGGCTCCAAGCTCTGAGCTGGCGGTCAGCACAGAGCCAGACGCGGGGCTCGAACTCACGAACCGTGAGATCATGACCTAAGCGAAAGTCGGACGCTTAACCGACTAAGCCACCCAGGCGCCCCAGAAGTCAGAACTTACTCTTGAGGGAAATGTGGACTTGAAACGAGATGAGGGATCCATTTTGATAAATGGCAAAATCTGCTTTTCTTAGTATATTCTGATACGTGGAATATTTTATATTCTACATCAGAGTATACATGGAAGTGTTACTATATATATCGCTGTAAAAACTGAGTTCATCTCAGGGTATAACATATGTTCCAGGGGTTCATGGCACATTTTTCCAGCTAATTTTTGGGAATGGTGATCAGCATTGCATTCTAGACAAGGGTTTGTTTTTTTTTTTTCAACTTTTTCAACTTTTATGCTATTGACATTTGGGGCTGGATAATGATTCTCTGCTCTGTGTGTGTGTGTGTGTGTGTGTGTGTGTGTGTGTAGGGAACCCGTCCTGGGTGTTGCAGGATGTTGACCAGTATCCCTGGTCCCTGTTTACTAAATATAAGAAGGACTTGCCTTCTTATATTCATTCATAACACTGTAAGAGAAGCCTCATGGAGACAAACTTATTTTCCCCCAAATTCTTGCCTTAACCCTAGCATCCAAGCTGAAATCCTGTGTTCAAAAAGCCAAAAAGTCTGGGATTGTGGAAAACCTCAGTTGTCCATGTGATTGCTATAGGTCCATGCCCCCCTCTCTGGGGAATTCCAGGTAACATCCCCATGCTTCCCCTTGCAGATCTCAGTAGGATCTACTACACTTATTTTCCTTCCTTGGCTACTGCACACCTCTGTTATCCAGAAATGAGGAGTCCCACAGACCTGGCCTGTGCATTGGGTGCTGTCTGTCAGGTCCTGTCATCCTTGTTCAGGTCCCTCTAGAAACAGTCGATGAGAAAGAAAGCTGAACAGCTTTCTTTCTCAATCATAGTTCTGGTTTCCTCACACGTGTGCTGCGCAAAAATATCTGACTTCCTGAAAATATTTTGGGGCCAAGCCCAAGGTCTCTCCCTGTTCTAAAACCCAAGTGTGTCTTGGAGTCCATACCTGGACCAATCTCCTAAATCCAAGGTATGATATATTTTACAGGAGGTGGTTTCAGCAGATAGTGGTTGGGCTCAGGGGTCTTCTTTTTGGGGCCCCATGATGGTCAACAACCATGCCATGTGGTGTGGCCTTTGACAAGATACTTAATCTCCTTGAATTTTCCTACTTAGCAAAGTGTAGATAACAAGGAGATCTGATAAATTTTACAGAAAGATTCACTGAAGAAATATATGTAAAACAGATTTTGTAGAATAGGTGCTAATAAGTGTGAATTCCTGTCATTGCTGCACAGAAACCTGTTATTTTCACTGTTGTTCTCTAACAAGGTTAACTTTGATGCTAGTTCTGCATCCAAAATGCTGCTGAGTCTCCCAAACTCTGATGTCTTAATCTCTTGCACTGTTTTGATTTTTTCTGGAATCATCCAGATAGATCCACCTCCTGCTACTGGATTTCCTTGATTGACCTTGGGGGCAACTGTCTATACTGAGTTGAGACATGGGGTGCATAGGACTCCCTAATGTACCTTGAAGGAGTTAGCTGCAGAGGTGATGGATGAGAGCCAGACTCCTTGCTGGGGACACAAGCCAGGTACTCTCTGGCAAACAGAGATTCTAGTGTCTCTCACTTGAGTGACCTGGACCTGCCCCAAAATGGCTTTCCAGATTCCAGTAGGATCGGGTGGATCTATCTGGATGATTCTGGAAGGACAAAAGAGTGCAAGAATTTAAGACAGCAGAGTTTGGGACACTCACCACAACTAGATACATAATTGTGACATAGTCACACAGTGGATTCTTACACAGGAGGGAAAATACTTCTTTCACATGTAAAGATATGATGAGATATCAAACCTATAATGTTGAATGAAAGGATCCAGTCAGAAAAATATATACTAGATGCTTCCATGTAGGTGAAATTCAGTAGTAGCCAGGAAGGAAGATGATTAGTGGTAGATAGATGGTAGATTTGTTTTTTGTTTATAGTAGCATAGTAATGGAAGTCAGAACTTACCCATGAAAGGAGCCAAGAAAGTTTTCTGATGTGTTAAGAATATTCTACATTTTGGTACAGGTGGTGGTTGCAAAGGAACAAATATGTAGAATTCTGTCAAACTACATACATGAAGAGAAAGAGGTGTTTAAAATGATTATCTGATGATAACTTTATTTATGATTCTTCTGTATCTATTTTCCAAATTTTATACAAAGAATGAATGTCTTTTCTGTAATGGGAAAAGACCATCAACATTAATAAAACATACCTCTGACCCCTTAGTGTGTTTCAAATTTTAGCCCTGTGAGAGCTGTGAGAGCAATGCGGTTATTTAGCCCAAATGAAGAACAAAATTATTTACAATCTTAGCCTGGGGACACATTACTTCACACTGCACATCCCATCTTAATTCATGGGTAAGATAGGTGATCCTGTCGCAGGCAAATGGTGTTGGAGAATTCTTAAAATCATAATGGTTGATTTTGATGGTATGTAGACAATTTACTTTAAGGTGGAATTATATAAATAGTAGCAGTTAAAGATAGCACTAAGTAAGAAATTGACTCAGCATAATTACAGTAAGGTCTCTATAGAGCCAGAGAACAAGGAAGCCAAAGTCAAAATCAATAGGAGTCAGCTTCTACCCTTTATCCCTGCAACCATAGCACAGAGCAGGGCAGAGAACTTAGGGAATAGATGATAGAGATGAGAATAACAAGGACAACAGTCCTAGAAATGTTTTCTAGGGGATTCTGAGGTTTTTATCTCATCTTAGGGTGAGATGAATCTGAAGACATAAGTTATTGTTAGGACGGAGTTGTCAAGCCGGGTTTCAGAAAGGGCTATGGTGTCCATGGAGAGCCTCCTCAGGGTCTTTCTGGGTGTTCTCAGGACATAGAATTCAAGTATTAATTGGTCTTGCAAGTTCCATGTATACACTGTTATCAATTGAGGGTTCCTCGGGCCCCTGGGAAGTGGAGGTGGCTTTCTGCTGTGTGAAAATACAGTGATCCAACTGTACATATGTCACCTCCTGTGCGTCTTCTGCTGGAGGGTTCTGCATAATGGGAAATGGGGAGGAGAGTGTGCACATATTTGTGGGCACTAGGAGGAAGTGAGACTGCATTGAAGAGGATGAGCTGAAGAGGACCTACTTCCCTACTCACCATTCTGTCCACCTCAGGCTCTCTGTTGATTATAGCAGCATCTGTAGGGAATAGAAGTCATCAAAAACACGTGGAAGAGCACTTCTGGATCCTCACTGAATATATACAGACACCCATGACAGAGAGGTGCAGTATTGCTTGGAATTACTGCCAAAAAGTGGAGTCAGAAATTCTACTTCTCTAAAGTTCATGGACAGATCCCATTAATATCTCCCTATTTCCATTCCGTTGATGAGGATGGGAGTCACTGGTGTTCTCTCTAGAAAGCCCAACCTCCATGGCTCTTGCCTTGAGCCAGGCATCAGCCTGCAAACAGAGAACTCACACCTGAGCACTCTCATCCTAGCTTCCCGCTCTGCTCAGACGGGAACTGGCCTCTCCTTCCCAAGACTCACTTTTTTTGGCATGGCACCAGCGATGAATTAGGAAAAAAAAAAAAAAAAGGAGGATGGTGAGGAAGACGATGGCCACTAAGGGCCCAACCAGAACATGCAGGTGTCTGGGGTTATCTGTGGGAATCCAATAAGGAGAAAATCATGATAGCTCTCCT